TCGGAAGAGTGTTTCAGAACATCACTGGTCTCGTTCCCTAAATTTGTTCACCAATGGTTTTTCTTTTCATGTCAACTTTGTTTAACTCAACTAGCTCTTCTCTCTCTCAAGTGTTTATTCCCTGCTGTGTTTAAAAGCAGTGAATGTGTTTTCTTCCAGGACTTGTTTTTCCTAGACTAAACAAGCCAAACACTATGGGTTTGAGACTCTGAATTCTCTTGCCAAAGTTTCAGCAGAATTTGAAGTAAATCAGCAAAGGGCTTTTATGTTTTAGTTGCTTTGGAATTTCACTGTCAATGTTTTTGTTTGTGGGAACCCGAAATTGAAGGCAAATCTTGGTTATTAGGAATCCACCACGTCCATAATTGGAAAGGAGCGTTGCTTCGCATAGCGGCATGATTCTAACAGCATGTCTACGTGTGTCCACCCCGTTGGACTTGTTAGCTTAGGTCTGGCATTGCTCTGCTGCTTCCAGCTTCTGCATGGGAATGGCCATACGTGAGCAACTCGGGTATACACCGAGCAAACTCCAGGCTCTTTATAGAGGTGGGCTTGAAGCTGACAAGTGTGATGGTTTCTATGTCTTAGTAGCAAATCCAGCCAGCATGCCACAAGAAGGATTTACATCCCAAAATACATTCAGGCAGGAGGAACTGGGGCATGCCTCTGCCATGCTGCTCATGGCCAGCGTAGGGCTGATTTCAAGAGGACTTCTCCAATGCAGACACAGACCAGCGCTCCTGTTGCAAAAAGCAGATGCCGCGCAAATGCACTGTGTAAACAGCGTTGCTGCTGAGCAGCTGCAGAAATACGTCTGAGAGTTCTGCAGTCTTCCATTTTATTGACATAGCCACGAAGCTCTGGAGGCTCTGATTATAGGGTAGTAATACTGGGACTGGTTTTCTGTGAACCGGTGTAACTAGAAGTGAGTTAATAAATATTCTGCAATAAATAAATATTCAACAGTAATAGAAATATCAATTTTCTGTTACACTCTGTTCCCAAGCTTCGCTCAGCGCTTTCCGTAGTTAATTGTGCTGTGCTCTTGAGATACTTCGCTGCAAAACAACTTCTGATTTTTCTTCTGCAGTTACATAGTTTACAGAACTACATAGTAGGCTTATTAAATTTTAATATCAACACTTAATTTTAATTTGGTTTAGGAATAGAAATTCTAGACAATTTAAATTTCTAAACTGTATCGAGGAAAAGATCTTCCAAGATGAAGAGAGAAGAATGCACATGGATGCTCAAGTTAGCAATGCTTTAGTGGGTTATAAAACAAAATTTACACTTCAGAGCATAAAACTAAGTCTTGTTCCAGCCCCAGAAGAGTGCAGTCTGAGTGGGGATCTGTGGGGCTGGCTTTTCCTGGGGGCTGTGTATGATTACTCTCCATTTACGTTCAGGCTGCTGCTGATGGTGGAGCATGCTGCTTCTCCCTTTTGAAGTCCGTGGCATTTTAACTCCCACAGGTTTCCACAGGCACGTGTATTGCAACTGGTGGCATTCCACTTATGGGAACTAGCGAATGAAACTCTTCTCATGTCAGACTCTAAGATTAATTCAAAAGTGATTTTTCAGTTTGTTGGAATACTATACAAAGGATTTTGTGACCGATCTGAAAATAGCATCCTGTTTAGTCTGTTTATTTTCCTGGGTCAAGAATCTTAAAAGATAGAGCAGTCTATTAAAGATCTTTTAATGGTTTCTAAATTTGCCTAGTCTGATTTATTTTTTTCTAAATGTTTAAAAGATGCAATGGGAAAATGTGCGAATGAATACAAATACTATTGGTCCAGGGTCTGCAGAATTAAGTACTATCCCTAAATATAGTCTTTACATTTTCAAAAAAAACTTACTTTCAATTTGTGATTGTCAGGTTTTAAAACCGCCTCTCCAAGATGGTGTTTGGGGTATTTTAACTTAAAAACCATTAGTGAAAAAATTGAAAGGAATTCAGGAAGTGCTTTTATTTCAAATATCTCTACATGTCTATATACTACTTTTACAAAAATAAAGACTTGTTTTTTCCCAGTATCACTTCTATAAACAGTAATTGGTTTCCACTTAATTGTGGCAGTTATCTTACCCGCTGTGGCTGTGCCACCCAGCTGGAAGAGCTCAGAGTGTCACAGGCTGGGGCAGGGACGTGACAAAGCACCTGAGCTGGAGCAAAGATGCTGCAGCGCGAGGTGTTCTCCCACCACCACGTGCTCTCCCTCCTCCTCTGGATGGTCCTCCTTTCTCCCTTTCTTTTTCCCTTCTTCCTTCTCCCCTTCCCTGTGGACATTTCCAAGGCCTAATATCCATTGAGGAGACGCTGCTGTGGTTCAGAGGGAGGTGGGAGCTGGGTCTGGGTTACACTGCCATGTGCACAGAAACCCAAAACTTAATTGTTTGTGCGTGTCTGAGAAAGCTCGGGACCTGGGAATGATAGTGGCAATTTACAAAGAGTTTTATGGTTGTGTAATCGGCAGAAAAAGGGTAGCCGCATCCAGCCATGTGAGAGTCAAATAAATAAATTCTTGCTTTCCTGGTATTATCATTCATCTGGAAAGATGCCTGTCTCTATTTTAAGGCTTAAGAATTTCCGTCAGTCTTAACTGTGCTCGAAAGTCAGAAGTGGTGGTGGAGGGGGTGTGCATATTTGTGTGTGTCAGAAGGTGGGAGCAAGAACACCATGCAGCAGATGAAAGCAACAAGTGAGGGAAGAGGAAGAGACCCATTTTTACCTTGTGCAAATACCCGGCAAAGGGAAGACAAGTAAATGCAGGTGTATGTTCGTGCACGTATCTAAAAAGCACATCTATCAGCTTCTGCTTAAGAAATGTGATGTGATATTTGAGAGAGATTTGTTTCAATCACTGCTTGTTTTCAAGTGTGGTAGCTGCCATTTGGAAATGAGTTAAAGTTGATGCCCGAGGACAGGAGAGGCTTTGTTGTTACTGGGACTTTGGATAGTACAAACTAAAACAAAAAAAAAAGGCTATGTACTCTAGAGCATGTTGCTGTAATCAATCTACAAAAAAGTAGCAGCATTTTGTAACGTAGCTGTTGCTGTTTACGTACATATGGTAATGGATAACATGCCAGAATTCAGTGAAAATTCAGGCAGTTTTCACTTTTTTACTGGAAAGACCATTAAATATTAATTTAATGACTCTTCAGTCTGAAGCAAACCAATAATGTAATATGAAATAAGATCAATGCCTGTATTAATTAACTTCTTAAGATACTAGAAAAGCCTTTTGTTCTTTTTATGTCAAATGCTTGTGTGCAGCAGTTGGAGAGGAGGCTCCCACCAGATACTTTTCTTCATACCAACCACCCTTTGGGAGGAAGAGGATGAAATCACCGTTATATAGTGGTGTAAGGTGGTCAGGATGCATTTCTTGAAACCAAAAGGAAGGTTAAAAGGAAAATGCAGCTCCACGCCAAGCAATACTTCACCCTTGTTAATGGCTAGGTCAATAAGCAAAGGTTTAACTACACATTTACACATGGCTGTGTAAACACAGTGCATTCTTACCATGTACAATTACTTTAGCTGCCTAATCAGTAGATAAGGCTCTATTATTTATGCCATATGTTTATTAATCATTTAACCTTTTCGTTCTTGAAATTGCAGAAAATATGGGTTTGGGGTGGTGGTTTTTTGTTTTTTAATGGGGAATATTGTACCCTGGAGCGTTTTCCCCTATCCCTTTAACTCTACCTAATCTTTTTCTAATGGTAGAGCTGAAAACTTGCTGTTCAAATCAAAGTAATTTTTCATATGTTGCTTTTATGAACTTACATCACTTTATGTACTTCAGTCAAAATAAGTAGCAATGCCAACCAAAGACAGTTCTATTTATCTTCTGCTCTCTCTGAAGCAAGCAGTCGGAGGGGTTTACGAGGTGCTGCTCTTCTCCCTTCTCCCCCTACCACCTTCCCCAGGGATGTGGCTTCTTGGTGGCTGATAGTTTTCAGAAGAGGCAACACTTCTTGTAGAGAGTCTTTTCCCATGAGAAAATACTAGGCTGCTGTGCACGGGATTTCCAAAGTAAATGGCATCTGTCCAGCTCTCTAAATTAGGCTGAACTATCTAAAAAGACCTAATTAGTTTGCCCATCCTTTTTTATCTTATTTTCACTTTGATTTAACAAACTTTTGAAACCTTTCAGGCTCATCTGTACCAATATTTCTATTTACACAGTTCTCAAAGCTCTTTCGAAATGCATATTTCACATTTTTGTTAGGAAGTCGTTGTTGATGTTACCATAGTAAAAGACTGCTACTCTTCACTCATTCCTATAAGCAGATTCTCATTGTGCAAATTATTAAACTAAGGTGCAGACCGAAGAGAAAGTGACAAAGCAGAAGCCAGGAGTCATTGTCTTAAGGAAGAAATAGAATTTAGAATACTGGCTTAGTCTTAAGACTATTTCCAAATTAAAACTTTTATGTCTTGGTAGGTGGTCTGCTTTTCTCTTCTTCTGAATGTCCTTAATGCAATTCAAATAGCTCAACAGCTTTTGTGCATCTTGTGAGAGTGACTTGAGCCCAACTTTTATTTGATCTAACAGATAGTTCACTGATGGTTAATGCTGCCACAATTTGTGTAAGATGTGTAGAAGGTTTGTGGATTTAACCTTCTCAGTTAGCTCTTCCCAGTAGAGTTCCATGTACTTAAATAGCGTGCTTTGAGACACTGCACACGCTGAAATAGTACTGTTCTTTGGTCTTCAGAGATATTTACCAACGTGGAGATGGGTTTCATGGCGGTGACACCAACGCTTTCACTCAATGGTTTCACCTCAGTTAGTCCATGACCTTTGTTAGACAACCACAACACACTTCTGCACTTTATTTATTTATAGTTAAACACTTCATGTTTTCCAGGTTGCACTTGTATCTGTGCTGCTGTCCCTTGTTCATGTGGTTAAAGGGACTGCCATCAAGTTCGGAGATTGCTTACCCAAATCTTCCCCCCTCTGCCTTCCTGCATTTCTTGCTATCTTCACTGCAGCTCTTACAATATAAACAGGATGATAATACTTGTTATGTTTACAGAGCCTTTCATTTTCCCCAAGAAAAGCACTGGCAGCTGGGAGTGGGCACTGTGTTAGTGACGGAGCAGTCAGGTCCAGAAGGCTGTTTGGTCTCTTGAGAGTTTTTTATACCAAGAACCTCGTGAAAGCACTTTATTTAATTTACCTTTCTGTTTTTCATTTTAGAATCAGGATCCAGGCTGTCAATGAAATTGGAGCTGGACCATTTAGCCACTTTATTAAAGCAAAAACCAGGCCATTACCACCCTTACCTCCTCGGTTAGAGTGTGCTGCAGCAGGTCCTCAGAGCCTGAAGCTGAAATGGGGAGACAGCAGTTCCAAGCTTCATGCTACCGATGACATGGTCTATATCTTGCAGATAGAAGACAGAAACAAAAGGTAAGAAATATGAATCTTTTCCTTGTGTTAGTGAAAATGAATTCTGGTTTATCATAATGCAGTTGTGAATCACAGTAAGAAAAATGTTGGTTTCCTGATTACTTCATACCTACAACTGTATACAAAATATTGTTTTAATAGGGATTCTGTGCCTGTAGTCTTACTGAGCAAATTACCTAACAGAGCTGGTCAAGTTATTATAGAACACGCAAAATCAGTGCTGTACAGTTGAAATGTTAGCAAAACCCTGGCCCCTCTGCCCATAAAAGTTAATACCAAGTTTCATGGTCATAGTGCTTTACCCTTTGGAATATACGAAACAAGGATACTGTACCCAACGTGCTGTGCGTATTTAATAAAACAAACGGTTACAAAATCAGAGGTCTCGGAAAGGCAAAACGAGTTTTTTTGGGCAACGTACAGGATTTTACAGCTGTAACATTTTGGAGCACTAGAAAATAGGAGCTGGGCATCTCCTTGGTAGCCACACAATAATTATGAAATAAGGATGCAGAAGAGCTCATCCACCACGTTTCACTTCCCTAAAATTTTCTTCAAAGCCATGAGAGCTTTTGATATGCAAGAAACACAAAAATGAACATTAAACAGTCAGTGCTCAGCAAAAAGTGTTTTCCCATGCCAACTTTGTATAGGAAGATTTTATAAGGTAGCTTCAAAGTTGTAACGAGAGATACTCAATTAAAAAAGGGAAGGAAAAACAGACAATGTCTGAGTGTAGCCTAATAGTCTGAGCTCTTCAGTGAATAAATATCATAGATGGCTCATAATTTACTGAGAAACACTCTCAACTAGTTTAATTAGGTAAAATAACTGACATATCAAGTAGATAATCCGTAGAGACCTTCAGTACAGATCATAATTTGGTGTAAATTAGCATGATTCCTTTAATTTAAATAGAGCTGTGCTGAGTTTATGCCAGCTGAAGATCTGGCCCAAAAGCTCTAATTGTAAGTAATAAAACCACCATGAATAATGCCTAAATACCTCCTGGTATCTCAACTGTACTGATGCAGAGCGGGTACATGCTCCCCTGTATTAATACTGAGAGGTGTCCAATGAATATAAATGCCCATTTGAAAGTCTGACTGATAAAAACAGTTTCTTCAGAGTGCAATGATGCTTGGCAGGAGCCCATCACCTGCAGCAGCGTGTGATCAAGTCAGCGCTAAAGAAACATCCAGCAGGCTTCTTTTGTTTGCTTTCATGTAGCACTGCAGGTAGGATGGTGAAGAACTGTAAATTGTTTTAAACCTGGTTTTATGTTGGAGAAAATAGTAAGTTTCCTTGTAAGAATAAAATATGTTGTGTTACCTGGCAGCAGAGAAGGAAAGCTTTTTCCCCCCTTTGCTTTTGCACAAGGCTTTAGCATCATCCTGTGCTTTTGCACAAACTTTTCCCACTGCAAATGGTTTCTTAAGAGCTGCTAATTAGGAGGAATTTGAACTTTGTACTCTGCTAGGTGGTCTTAGCTTTAAATTTGGCTTATAGTCCACGTGAGCTCCCAAAGATGCAGAGAAACTACTCATCTACGTTGCACTGTCTCCTCCTGCTTGAACAGAGTCCTCGCATGAAATGGCTTCCTTTGGTGGCTGGGTTTATAGCAATTAGTTCAGATAATACCTGAAATGAGCCATAGCCCTGAGCCCTCCGGCTGACGAAGTGCATGCCGGTGAGGGCACAGCAGAGGAGTAGAGCAGGTGCACTGTTGTCTGTGCCGGCTGCTGTGTTTGAGAACGGTTGGAGCTGGCAGGTCGTGGCAATGAGATCTATTTATTTGTTCCCTATCTGACAGTCCCTTTTTGCTCCCCATTGGGTGCATCGATCACAATGAGAGATGATCCTGAAAGGATAGAGCGGCGAAGTTTTGTACATTCGGGAGAGCTATCATTCCTAATGAACAGAGAATGACAGCCCACACATGAATTGGTAGAAACAGCAGTTAGTTACGGAGGTGTAGGAGTCCTCTCTTAGATCATTCCCATAAAATAAACCCCATCGTGACTGAGGGGTTACTCACTCGTGTGTATGCTTGTGAAAAATATTGGAATACGGTTCTTTGAGCATCACTGGCTGCTTTACCAGGCTAATGCAGGTGAACTGTGGACATCGAATGGAATAATTAAATAGAATAGACTGTTTCAGTTGGAAGGGACCTGCAACGATCGTCTAGTCCAACTGCCTGACCAATTCAGGGCTGACAAAAAGCTAAAGCGTGTTATTAAGGGAATTGTCCAAATGCCTCTTAAACACTGACAGGCTTGGGACATCAACCACCTCTCTGGGAAGCCAGTCTCTGGTGAAAAAATGACACCGGATAAATGATCTAGAAGGTTGGTTTGGAATCTTTTATGGTTTGAAAGGGTTGTAAGAAGGTTCCGTGGTGTCCCCTCTGAGAGAAGAGATAGCACCTGACTTGAGGGAAGTGGCTGTGGTGTAAACATGGATAACTCAAAATTAACCTCTGTCATATCCTTAGTCTTTCAGAAGGTATTGTTACTGTATTCCCTGAGGCATCTGAAATTACTTATCACAGCTTTATTTTGAAATCCCTCAACTCAGTATTACAATTTTCCCTTCTTCAGTGAATCTGAGCATGCAGTTTGCTTACTGTAACATTGCTTACTGATGAGGTTTAAATAGGAGTCAGCTTTAAGATGCCGTTGAAGCATTTTTGCAAACAGAAGTACAAAGATGAGCAAATTCTTTTAAAAGAAAGAAAATTGACAGTAAGTCAAATTTTGACCCTGCTGGCTTTAATGGCCTTTCTGTAAAGATTCAGCTCTGGTTTTATGTAGTGATAGTCAGCCAGTGTTCTTTCTTGAATGTGTCCTGGTCATTAAGAATTGTTTTTAACTTTTGCATGCTGTAATGAGGTATAACAGGCCAGTTGTTGGAGACTAAATGTTTCATTGATTGCAAGGCCTGTGAAACAAAATACTTGGAAATCTCCTGACACTGATTAATGTAGGGGTTTGAAAAGGTGTGCACATCAGAAATGTACCTGCTTTAGCTCTCATTTGCTCTTCAGTGTGTGACATTTAGGAAGATCAAATTAGCATCTCTTGTCCTTTCAATTATGTGTAGCATTAAGTGGAAATGAAGAAAAATCTGTTTCTAGAAAGCACAGTACATGGGAACGTTAGTTGAGAGTAGTTGACCTTTATGTAAAGAGGACTATAAAATTTCTTTTCTTTTTTAAATAAACTATCAGTTGTGACTTCATTTCCTAACTCTAGTAATGTCAAGAAAAGCATATTAATCAAGTTGCACTATTTTCCAGAATACTGTGGATTTTTCCTCTCCAAATGAAACAAATGAACCTAATTATAGTAATGCTCTTGATCCCCCCCCCCACCGTACTGGTAATTAGTCTTTAGTTGTTCCTACAACTAATTATACCTCTTAGTGTCTTCAAATGCTTACAATATCCAGCCTGAAAGAGAGAATTAGCCAGTACATTATTAGTGGGTCATTTATCAGTTGCTTGTGTTTCTTTTAGATGAATATGTGTTGCGGTTGAGATGAATTCTGTGATTTTTGTGTGTATACAGAATCCCAATAAAAATGTATATAATTGCACTTTAAAGGAGAATCATTGGTAAGGTTGAATAAGAAGCAGCCTAAACATGTTCTTTAAAAATATCAGTGAAGGCTCATTGACAATTCTTAATAAGTCTGCTTTTGTAAGTGAATTGTAAGAGATGGTTTATACTAGCATTCTAAACTAATTGCTTTTGTTATGGTTATTTACTGAATAAAAGTGTTATGACCCCATATCACTGGGTAAACACTACTAGTATTTCCCTTTCATATCATATGGAAGATTATTTATGTGGGTATTAAACTGTTTTAAAATACTTTGCTAAACTATACATGCTTGCCATTTAAGGAGATATTACTCTTCAATATAAATGAAAAATTGATCATAAAATAGAATTTGCCTAATGACTATAAATACTAATTTGGCACAGTCATTGTGCACACTGTTTTTCTCGTTAGGATATCAATGTCCCAAGGGCCATAGACATACATAGATGGAGTCCTGGAAACTTCTAGCGACACCAAGGAAGGAACAACATTTGTAACCAAATGACATAATCCCTTGAATCGATTTCTTCTACTTGGAGAATTTTACCTTAAGTCGAGTATTTATTTCAGGAGGCATGACCCCTCACGTTCCTCATCCCAGGAGTGCCTGTTATCATGGTGCAGGCAGCAGAGGACACCTGAGCTGTGAGCTCGGTAGACTCTTGGTTGCCTTCCAGCGACTCAGGTTGTCTTTCCTTGCTCGTGTTTAGTAGGTTGTGAGTAGAGCCTTCAGAGCCTGAGTGTGAGCAGGGGAGACATGGAAGATTTTCTTGGTATCAAAGGGAGATGTATTGTCCCATCTGTTTCAGTGTCTGCTAACCTAGATGTTAGTGACACTCCTGGCATTACTCTTTTTCAGTTGTGTAATAAGCTATTTCAGTGTTTACAGAAAGCCTATAAGAAAGAGAGAAAAATATCATATATAAAAAACTACACCAGTATTTTCCAAGATGAAAGGAACGAAAAAGCGCTTGTCAGGAGGTAGTTTCCAAGGAAAATTAGAACGTGCTTTCAACAGTAAAGCCAGCACAGAGATGTGGATGGGCTCATTTTTTCTGCAGAAAGGTTCGGTTTTAGGAAACTCCAGGCATTTCCAGTGATTCTCCCATCGTTCTGTCATCTTCACCCAGTGATGCTGGAAACCTTTTCTCTCCCAAACATGCTAAAGTTGTGTATAACAGAAGAAATTATTTTCCCTTTGTTCCAGCACAGTTTCTCTGTTACTCCTTAAAGAAGCATAACAAACAGCAGAGAACTCATAAATGAAATGAAGACCGTCTGTCACAGCGTCCAGTGCAGTTTCCCTGGCTGTAGAAGTGGAATATCATATCTGATGGTTTGGTCCAGGCAGCAGTCTTTGCAGAAAGACAATGCCAAGTATCGTCTCTGTG